GTTTCAGAGCAAAAAGCTCTGCCCACATGGGAAGCCTGGGTGTCAAGTTGTGAGCAGCTGAGATAAGCTCAAAATGAGTTTGACGGGTCTGCCACCACTTTGGCATACTGTGCATTTACAGTCTAGCACTGTTGCCATGCTTAGCACTGTTATTCTAGCACTTCATGTGCCAAATGAAGGCAACAGCAGATTTGAGATCAATCAACCAGCTGTATTTGGTATCTGTTCATCCTGGAGTGGGAAAGAGGTATTGGTGCAGAGCTTTAGTGGTGCTAGGAGGTCTCCGGGGAATGTCTTGGTTGTTTGAATGAGTGTGCTCCTTGCACGGCATGTACTGCCCACCTGTTCCTCATGGCTAATGTTTGAGTCTCTCGAGAAGCCTGTTAACATGATAACTGATTACAGCATCTTTTTAAAAATATTTGTCAATGACCAGGAAAACCCATTCAGCTTTGGTATGAATGAAAAAATTAATAATTCATGAACGTTTTTTTGTATCTCTAATTTACTTTACACTAGGTTCATAGATTATAGAAAAAAGTGTTGGTAATGGCTTTCTTCCTGGGTTAAAATACAACAGCTGTGGCACACCATTTACAGAGATGGCTGCAATGATTGTATATCAAATCTGAAAATTTTATTGACCATATCAGTGCAATATAGCCTTTGGTACTTCTTGTGAGGGTTTCTTAGACATCTTGTAAGAGCTGCCTCACTTTGTCACAGGAAACTACAAGAACACATGGAGACAAAATGATTGATTATTAGTCTTGGTATTTGTAATTTGATCTCTGCAGCAAGTGTTAGCCAATAATTATTTGTTTTCATTCCCTTACTCCCTTATTGACATTTTTCATTGTCTTAGTGTCCGAAATTCCAAATCTGGAATGTCCTGCTATCAAGTCTGAGTCTGCTTTATTTAAGCCAAATACAAATCCATAGTATAAAGCAATATGAATGAGGTCTGAACTGAAAGCAAATTCAACTCAGTATGTTAACAAACTGAAGCCTTCATACCCCATCAGATGCAAACACTGAATTAAGTCTGCATGGCTGTCTACTAGGCTCTGGGTCTGGCATAAACAGAGTTTGCTTGAACAGTAGCTCCAGAGATTTTGAGAACAGAGACCTCCTTACAGGGTAAGTTTACAGAGTTTTCATGTGTCACTCAGAAAGGAAATAGAATTTAACAAATTGCAGTAATTTTGATTTCCTGATAAAGTATGCCTAAGAATAATAGTCAGTAAAGTTGATTTACTCTCTGTGTGTTTATCAGTCTGAGAAACATTATGTCTTCTACTTGGGTTACCTTACTGAGTATGGGATACCTCTCTAAAACATGTGCAGTCTCTCAAAAGAACAAATATAATTCAATCAGTTTATGTAATATTTTTTGTTGTTTGAAATAGCAATTCCTTTTAAATAAACTTGCAGGATTTATTGCCAACTCAAACACTAAGAACTGATTCTTTAAATTGTTAGTGAACTGTATGGCCAGGCTATGGTGATAACCCTTAAGAGCTCTAGGATACTCCTAATTAAGTACTGCATTGTGAAGGACTGAAAAGTCTGTGACTCTCCCTTGAGAGTTTTCCTGTGGTTCTCATGCTGGGAGATGTGTTATTTCAGAAATTTTAGAAATGGCAAGGAATGCAACGTAATAACTTTGAAGTTCTGAAATATATGGACATTTTTCCTTATTTGTGGGTATAACAAGCTCTGTGAGTACTCTCTTCTGTGTCTGTGTATGGATATGCAGTTTTTGTGCCATGTAGCTGATGGAGAGGGATTTTTAGAGAAATCAGAAGGGACAAGCTGAACAACAGCACAAATTAAATAACTGAGATAAATGATCCTGCTAGAGTTTAGAGGAGAAGGGTCATGCCTTTGTAAGGAAGAACCCATTTCTTGAAGCACCAGATTGCTGAGAATTGTTTAGTCTTTCTTATTTTAAAATTTGAGATCACAAAGAATTAGAACCTGATTGTAGTATAAGAAAGAAGACAGGTCAGTTAAGGCAGAATAAAGACAATGCAGGTGACCACGTAAAAGAAATACCTCGATGCATGAAAAAGACAAGTTTTTTTGTTATTTTGTTGTTTAGGGTTTTTTTGGTGGTTTTTGTTTGGTTTTTTGTGGTTTGTTTCTGTTTTTGTTTTGTCTGTTTTGTTTCTCCCTAGCAATGGAATTAGATAACTTTCAGTTCCAGTAGGTTTTGATCTGTAAATCAAGACCAAGCAGCTTACCTGTGCTCTCCTGAAGCAGTGTTAGATACTCCAGATTTAGCTGTTATTTGACCTATGCATAAATGTCTATGACTCCTGGGAAGCTAAGAAAATGGATTTTTCTTCAGGTGTTCTGTAAATGAAATGCTTCCTTCCTTTTGTTTCTTGGGAAATGTGATCTTCTATATGAAGTCCTGTGGTGGACTTTTGGATTGAAATCTCAGAACCTTGTAGGAGATTCAGGAGATTTTAAAAGACTTTGTAACAAATCTAAAAGAGAACAACCAACCATCCCCATCCCCAGTTGACAGACTGTGGAGATTTCATATTGATACCTGTGACTGACTGATAACTATCTGCAAAGGATTGTCATTATATCAGAATTGTTCAGACCATAAATGATGAAATCTTCCTCTCTCTCCACTTGCTGAGGACAGAAAACAGCTGTAACAAAGGCTATTGGTAGTACACTTTGTATCACTGTTTTTTCATACCTGAGTTTAAAAGGGGGAAAAGGATTGTCTCCTTAGAGGTTATTCAAACCTCAGAGCACCTGACACTTCTTATGCTTCTAGTAGAATTGTGAGCAAAATTATGCTGTTCAAAATGTCTGGGATCAGTTAGACTTCTGCCTATGTTTATGTACTTAAATACCTTTTTAGATCAATCCCTGTATAATTTGGATTCCCAGTCTCATATTTAAAATTGCAAGTAATTGGAAATTAGATGGTATTTCACTACCTCATTGGGATCTTGAGATGCAACTGCATACTGTGAAAGTATCTAAAACAAAGGGGATAAAAAGTGCCTCACAATGGATTACTCTTGAGAAAAAACTCTTGATATCCAAATGTTAGAGCATCCATTCATCTCATGGTTTTCTTAGTTTATATCCTGGCATCAAAAGCTAATGCATGTTTATTAAAAGGGAAAAGTAAAAATATTGCTACTTCTGTGTATGAAGCCTCTCACATGATAGAATAAATACCTTTAACAGAAAACAATGAAACAGTTTCTATAACTCTACAGTGTTCGAAATTCAATATTGTTAGTATAAACAGTTTTATGGTAATAATAGGAGATTTGCAAGGAAGAGGGCTTCATTTAGTTCTAAGAGTTGTTTGACCTCTGCTACTTCATAAGCCGTTAGAGAGAGCTATGGTCCACATAAGCTGACTTTGTTTCTCTTTTACCTGGAAGGCGTTATTTTTTCAATAACTTCCAAAATCAAGTAAATATTTTTAGAGCCAGGATAACTGCCACTTTAAATGGACTAATCTTTGCTCAGAAGTTGTCTGACACTTTATATCCAATGCCAGCATGAAAGAAATAATTAAGATACATGCTTTTGGTAATTGATCAGGACCATTTGAGTGAGTTACATAAATAATAGACTAATCAAAGTATTGTCTAACCATTTAAAAAAACACATGCCCTACTGAATGTACATTTATTTAAATTAATGTTGCTGTCAAATTTTATGAGAAAGTTTGAAAGAGGATTTCATTTTCATCTTATGGTCAGTGCTCTCACAAATAAGAATTTGTCAATTTATAAGATGAGATACACTATTAAATTGTTCAATGTAGCTCCTTAAAATAGAGGTGTGCAATTCTGTTCTGGGCAATTACTCTTCAGGTAATACTGCGACTTTGAAATCTCATTTTCTTATCTGCCAAATCCTAGTCTAACTCATTTTCTGTTCTAAGTATAATTAATGATATTAGTATCTAATAGTATGCAGAAGAGAACTGGGACTTTCCTTGTATCATGTATTAGTTTTCTACATAAAGTATTTTATTAGTATTTCATTAATAACTGACCAACAGATTAATGGACAAAAAGAAGTAAAAAAAACCCCACCAAAACAAAACAGCACAAACCCAAACAAAAAAACCTACTGTTCAATGTATTTGAAAAATATATTAGGAATGGGGTTCAAACATCATGAAAATTATGCTTGCTAATTATTTAAGAAGTTCTGTTCTATCTTGGAGTTGAACACCAAGAAACTTTGGTGTGATAGTTTGGGGTAGAATAATATCTACTTATGAAAAGCTTCTATTCTTCACTCTTTTCTAAAACCACTTTAGCTTTGCATGATGGTATGAGGGAAGACTACACTATCAAGCTGAATATTTGGGATTAAATGAAAGGTTATTTTTCTCTTGAATGGGAATTTGAACATGTTTTTTTTTGTGAGATCTTCCACACACAAACCAAAATACCCATAATGCGAAAGATACGACATTTCTCAGTCTTTATATTTCCTTCTGCCCATATCAGGTTGCCACAGTCAAGGCTGCTATTTACATTAGAATTGTCCTATAAGTATTATTTGGGCTCCACTGGTACTCATTAAAAGGTTCTGTGACAGCCTGGCTTCAGCAGAGGTCCTGCATGGAAACAGTCACTCTTTTCATCAGCAGTCACTGTCATCTGCTATGTTGTCTCTGGGCTAAGCTTCTCAGGCTCTGTTTAGAGTGGTTTGGGTTTTTTCCCCCTCTGGACAGGGAAGTAGGGCCTCTGCATGTGTTTAACCCTACATTTTTGCAGGATACTAATATTTCTGCTTTTAATTGACTGCAGTTTTACAGGAGACTGTGTCCCAGATGTGACTGCACTGAAATGAAAGAGCACTGGTGTTGGGCTTGAATGTTTCCCATCCAATTAGTAATTGCCCCTTCATTTTATTTTGAAAGTTTTTTTTCATGTGAGTATGGGGTTTCCAAATTATTCTGGTAATCCTGGATTCTTTTTCCCTTGTTTTTACAGGTGACCTGTAACTGTTTCACCATCAGTAATGGAGAGATGCAGGATGTTGGTGTTGGCCTGTATCCCAGGTATGGTGGATTCACATTCACAGGCAAAATCTGTTATTTTTTTTTCCTTTTTACCTAGGTAGCTGTAAGGATCATCAAAGCAGCGGGTAGTTTGTCCAAATGAGAAACTGGGAAATGCAAATAACTGAAAGGAAAATTAAAAATATGAACAAGTTGAAAACATTATTAATAGTCCTGATTACAGAGTTAAAACATTTTAAGTAAGATACATCTTTATATTTTATTGTTATGGGGTTTTCTAAGTAGGCGTAACTGCTGACATAAAAAAATGTGTGACTAGAAGGAGTAAAAGGAAACCTGTTCAGCATTGCTTTAGAACACAGGTATTTGCAGCCAAGAGCCTTCTGAACTGGCAATTAAAATAAAACAATTGAACACATTTATTAGTAAATTGCTATAACTAAGAAACCAATAAGGTGAAAAGATAAGCCCCTTGAGAGATGGATGTTAATATTTGAATAATTTCTTATTTCTATTAGGTACAAAGTACATACCAGAGAAGGTTTTGCTTTCATAGGATCAGTTACCTGTAATAATGGTGTGGAAAATTAGTATGTGATTAAAAGTGCTTTGTTTAGTCTCAGTAAGAGGTTGTATATTGTTGCATGGCTTGACAGCTTCAGCATCCCAGTATGTTTTAAAATAGATAAAATCCTTTGGTCCTTCTCTGCATCACCTTGCCAGCAGCTCTGGGAGTATACCCAGTGATGTCACAAGAAGTGAACTGGGTACTCTCTCCCAGAGTACATTACTGGGGTCATGTGGAGATTAACCAGAGATATTTTATTAGGCCAGAAGGGATAGCAAAAGAGTCAGGCTCTGCCTGATAGCTCCTTTGAGTCAAGAACTGAATACATGTGGTTTGGTGCAGGGCTCCGACCCTGAGCAACAATCTCTATTTTGCCAACAACAATTGGGATTTTGAGTTACTGGAACAGGCAGACAAGAGAAGCAAATAAAGGCAGCTGAATACACCAAAAATTTTTCTTCCAGCCTGATGATGCCAGAATTTCATTAGGTCATTCCCATAGGGGAAGAACCCTCAGCTGAACAAAATATATGTAAAACAGAGGCAATGCTTTATCTCTTCTTTCAAATCTGTACACCAAGTACTTTGGTTTTAGAACACAGTATTTTCTACCTAATTCAAATACACGTTGATTCCTGGCCCCTTCAACCATGATTCCACTGACAGTCAGGGTAACCGATAAGCTTAGTGTCCTGAAACTGAGCAGAAGCAGCAGAAATAAATCGCCATCCCAAGGCATGAACATTTTGCTATGAACTGTCCAGGTTGCCTTGTTCCCCACTTGCCTGCTTTGCCCTCTCCCCTGGGTCAGGCCTCTCTGAGAGTCACTGTGAGGCCATCCCCTCCCTCCTGCCCCAAGTACACAGAAGACAGAACGATATGAAGGCATCCAGGCGTGACTCCTATTAGCAACTAATGTAAATCTTCTAATAATTAATTTTCCTCCCCTAGACAAGAGCAGCTGATTTACCAGGATTTTATTTGTGCCGTAACTTAACTGCTTGATATTTCAGATGTGATCATGTTAGCTACTTCTAAATGATTAACGGGGAATGGCAGTGGAGGCTCCTCTGTAAAGTTCTTTCTCTCTCTTTCTCCCTGTCTGCCACCCCTCACAGCATGTCTTTGCTGAACCACAGCTGTGACCCAAACTGTGTGATAGTTTTTGAAGGATACCAGCTTTTACTTCGCTCCGTCCGAGACATCCAGATTGGTGAAGAGGTAATTAATTTGTCCTCCCTTCCATCTCAGACACCTGCAACAATGATATCTCCCTAAATAGATTCCAGACTGCAGGGCCACCAGCTTAATATTTTGGTGATATATTGATGCCACTTTCTAGCACATAGCTATCAAGGGGAACATGATAAATAGAATCATCTCTTCACACTGCCTGGGCCCCATAATCATTACTTCTCATAAATCACTAGCAGTCTTGATAAATTCTTGTGCCTCCTTCCCTCCTCTAGGCACTTCATTTTGTTTGTATTTAAAAGTCTTTACCCTGATGGAAATATTTACAGTATTTCTGGGTGGAATGCAGTGTTCACTATGTTATTGCAACAATAAGCATTTGTCAGGCTGCAACCATACAGTTGTAGTAAAACTTTCATTGACAGTGAAAATGTTTTCTTGTCCATTTCACTGGAAAAGACTTCAAAATAGCCCTTACAAGAGATTTCTGCTTTGATCAAAGGTATTCTCTGCTGTTTTTTTTGTTTGTTTCTTTTTGTTTGTTTTGGGGGTTTTTGTTTTGTTTTGTTTTAAAACAGCATTTGCATTACTTTGGATATAATAATTTGTGACCAGGTAAGCATTTCAAAGTAAATGTCTTTTGCAGTAAAGCAATATTGGCCTATAAAGATGTGTGTATAGATGTAACTTTACATGTACCAATTACTGTACCAAACAGTCCTAGCTGTTGGGTATTTTAAAATCATGTCCTTACTGTAAATGCAGTTCAAGCCTGTGCTTCAACCTCTGGGGAGATCAAGGGCATTAATTTTCTAATTTAAAGGTAGTACCTATTTCCCTCTCTCTGAAATGTTTTCTTTTCCTATTACACAACTGCTACTGCTTTTCATTTTGGGTTCTGCATGGTATCTTTGGTGCAACTTCTTTCCACGCTGCCTTGCTGGTTGCCTGCGGTAGGGTGAGCTCAGTTTTCTTAATAGCCATGTATTGAATTTACACACCTATGTACATGAAACTGTATTGCCTGTTATGAGCTAAGTTTTTACTTATATTACTGAGGTCATAATCTGACCTCACACGAAAGAAAATACATGTTAGGGAGAAATCTGATTGGGTTTTCTGAAAAAATGGAGTGCTCTGTGGTGGTGAGATGAATACAGTTTCACGTCATGAGGCAAGAAGAAAAAAATAATTATTGTCAGTAGAAAACTTGCCTTATCCTGTTCAGACTTTCTAGATTTAGACAGCATGAGATCCCTTATGTAGTAATGAATAAAAAATAAATAAACACTAAGGTTTATTAGAAATGAGAAGCTAAGTAGCAAGATAAGCTGAGATTAGTAGAAGAGGATGATGGCTTTACTATCTATAGAGGATCAAACTTGATAGGGCTTCTGTACCCTTGCCAGGAAAATATCAGCCACTGCAGTACAATGTGTTCACTAGGCAAGTGAGAAGTAAAAATATTTTTGGACATTTGTAGTGCTTTCTATCAGAGGACTACAACAATTTACTCATGTTAAGGAGTTGTTGACGCCCTGTGTTCACAGGGAAAACACAGGGAGAGGAGTTGACTGGCCATTGTGATCATCTCACAATCACATAAAAAGGAAGGCACCAGTATACCTGATTTTGGTTGTAAACTAGAAGAAGAGATATGATTGTATTGCATGTAGCTGTTGTGGTGTGATGCAGGTTTATTCAGGAGTAATTTTTATGTCCCAACCACACTAGAGTGCTCGTTCTATACACAGTTATTATATTTATGAAGCCAGTGATAGAAGACATCCAAGATTGTGTGAACCTCCAAAAGTTTTTATATCCTGGTGGAAGTTGTTTCAGTATAGTTTTAGTCTCATGTCTAAGCAGATTTTCTTAGCTTTGCATGTTTTTGACAGGAAGGCATATGGAATTTAGTGGGTTTTAGTTGAATTTTTTGGGGGCTTTGAATTTTGTTGAAATCCTAAGGCCAAAATGTATCTCAGGCAGTAGAAAATTAGGACTTCTGAGACAGAAAATATTTACTTGGATCTTTATAGAATCTAAGTTCTAGATTTGATGGTGCTGTATTTTTGGAAAACTAATGACTAATCCTATGCAAAAATTCTAGCCATCTAGGCCCTTTTTTTGGCAAAGACAGTGTTGCCAATCCAGAAGCACTATGAAACCATGAGTCATGAATATAAGTTTTTTGTAGGATTTGAAAGAAAAGATTAATGTTTAATTGCATGGTTTTCAAAGTTGAAGCTTTAAGTAAAGAAAGCGTATTGCAGGAATCATAATAAAATACTAAGATCTGGGAAGATGGAAAAGTGTCTGGTCCTTAAATTTTGCTTCAAAAACCCAAAGTTCAGATTTGTCTTTAGGTTTATTTTTTGCATTTTATACTAATATGGTTCTATGGAATTGCATGCTCTATGAGGGCAGAAAGTTACCATTTTAAACAAAAACATTTGTAATCCTCTTTAAATATGCAGGGAGCAGAGGAGAGGACAAAATAAGGGAAAGGGAGACAAGGCTTGATAGCAGCTATTGAACTTGATGCATATACTGGGGGTTGTGGTTTCTAGAAAGGGGTCTCCTGAAACTGAAGAGACTACTCTGTACCAGGTTTTTGAGCATAATTGAATCTAATAGTGGGAAGAAAGAATAGGTTTATATGGGGGTTATGTCCCTACTTAAAAGACTACAGGACTTTCCGAAACTTGCTTCCAGCAGCTCAAAACTAATTATAAACCCTTTTTGCTCCTCAAGATAATGTTAGCTGTAGTGCTGATTATCGCAGCTTTTGTAACGTGACTTTACTTTGACAATATACAAAGATTTCCTTTCCTAGCCAAAGTGAAATTTAAGTATTACAAAGGAAGATAAGATATGGGGAAGGATTATAAGAAAGGAAAAATTACTCACCTAGAGATCACCAGGGCTCCTTCAGTGGTGAGGTAGAATATCAGTAATTTATTTTCTCAAAAAGACAAGCAGCCTGCTCCGAAGAGGTCTGCATCATTTCCCTACCCTGAAGTAACCACTTTGAGCAGCATGAAGATGAGCTCTATAATTTGAATTGACTTTTTGTAAGTTACTGTATCTACCTGGTGTTCTGCAGGCAGATGTGAGCTATTTTGTCTGATTTCCAGTTAGAAGTTGTACAGCTATGGTTAGCTCAGTGCATAGCTCAAATCAGTTAGTCCTGCTGAGATACAGGATGTATTAGCTGGGGTCTAGTTCTGCACCAAAACAGGTGCATGATTCTCATCAGCTCCATCAGAGCAAATTTGTATCTTCCTGCAGAAAGTCACATAACAGACCATACTCCTACAGAGCAACTAATTTTTAAAATTAATACTAAATACAGGTAATTATTTCAGATGACCAGCAATTAACTCTTATCTTCATTATATAGTTCAACCAATATATGTACTATTTCTGTATAATTCTATGAGGAGAATGTTTGTATCTGTTTGTTTGACACGTTACATTTGGTCACATTACATTTTTTAAAACCAAATTTTTCCTTGAGTTAAAAGGCATTTTGATTATATATGCCAAAACAGAAAGAGAGACTGTTTACGACTTAAATAACTCTGTCTCAGGAAGAGATTTTTGTCCCAACCCTCCCTACGACCCTGAGATCTATAATTGCAAAAACAAGAGAACTCACTTTTTTCCCCTGCTGTTTGCATTAAAATAATTTATTTCCAATTTCTACAGACTTCTCTGTCTAGAAAATTTGTAGCTTATAGCCCGTTACAAAAAATATACATGAAGTCCACTGCAGCATGGCAGTACTGGAAAACTGTGTCCACCTCATTTGGCAAATGAGGAACACGAGAAACTAACTACCAAACCCATGGTTAAAGAATTTCAGTGTTGGAGCAAGAAGCAGGGCTCACACAGTGCTGCATTTCTAGGGAGAAAGTTTTCAGAATAAGTCTCATGGCTGTTGAATAATTCCCTGTCTTCACAAATGTTACTAAATATATATTCTCCAGTTCAGGGGAAAATATTTACTACATTCTTTACAAACGATACACTAAAGAGGCAAGCTTTGGTCAGCTGAAATAATGTTTTAATTAATGCCATACATCCCACATGCAAATAAGACAACCTTTGATAAATAGGCATATTTCCTAAATATGTACAAATTAAATGATCCTTGCATCTAATGAAAAAGATCCAAAATTAAGTGCAGGAGAGAGACTTGAATACAGAATTTTGATGTTTAAACAATTAGATGATTAGTATAGACTTACTCACTGTTAGGTTGGTCCTGTTTCTAAATATTCATATTACATTTTCCCATTCAGTCTGTCAGCAAAATTTTTTTACTTATGGATTTCTGCTGGCAGGACTGGAAATTTGGACTAGGGCCTCTGACAGCAAGAGAAACCTGAAGCTGTTAAAATGCTAAAAGAAGGTATCAGTGTGACAAAGCCTCTTGTCCTCTTCCAGGATAGTCATATTCTCTAAGCCAGAGCAGGTTGTTATGTGACTGTTCATATCCAACACTGTTTGGTAATCTCTGAAGAAGAAATTACTGGTGTCAAATTGTTACCAAAAGAAGAAGAAGAAGAAGAAGAAGAAGAAAAAAGCCAAAACTGAAAAGAGAGAAAGAAATGAAGCCTGTAGGCTGAAGATAGATGAAGCAAGTTTGATGTAGGCTCTGGGTTTGTTTTGCAATATTATAATTGAACCCTGCCTAATGATCAGTTCAGCAGCAATAATAGGGTGTAGACCATTGTCTTTTGGCAAATAATAGACTAATCTCACATGAATAATTTTTCCATAGAGATTTCTATTGTCTTACACTGTGCCTGAACTTGATTAAATCCTTTTTACTGCTGGATGCCACCTGAACCTAAAGCCCCAGAGGACATGGGTCAGATCCACTGATGTTTATGCAGAGGATAAGAAATAAGGGAATGAGCCAGTGTGCAGAATGATTTTGACACAAAAAAACTGTGAATTGCAAAGAGACGTGAAAATCAGATGTCTGTGATAGGAGAGGGAAATTGGGCTGGGAGTGGCTGGAGGATGAGGTTAGGACTACAACTTTACCGGAAACTGGTTTGTGGAAAGGAATCAAGACAGGTCTTTCTTACCACACTAGAGAGGATGCAAAGTAGGACCAGCTGGGGAAAAAAACAAGGACTAAGTTGGTGGGGTCACAGAAGATGACTGAGAAACCAGAGTAGGGCAACAAGTGCTGTTAAACCAAGGCATGCAGGGGAGGCAGAAGGACAGATATCGGACTGGTAGGATGACAAAATCTGCCCATTTCACCAAAAATGGCTATGTAAGGAGCTGGAACTGAAGGCTGGAAACCAGTTTTAGATAACCAGGTGTGGAGAATAAGACTGTAAAATGATACTCATGTCCAGGAGAGAGAATGAGAAGAGGGACAGTTTGGAGAGAAAGGGGCAGAAGAGTCCAAGCTTGGGAGAAAAGGCAAAACAAACAAAAAAAAATAGGCAAAACAATTTCCATCTGTTCACCACAGAAAGCTCAGAGGGAAGCCTACAGCTCCTGTGTAAATTATTAGTATAGACTATTCTGCTGTAACCCAGCAGTGGTGAAACTAATCCCCTCTCAGCTCAGACACGCACAAGCTGGGACAAAATGATGTTATATAGAATGCAAAACCTGACAAAATTCTTACACTTCCTAACTTTTTATTATTTGTGAAACTTTAATATGTCTCTTTCATTAATTATACTATTAATCTTCAATTATAAGAGCATATTACTTTTTTTCCACAGGCTTTCTGCTTATGAATATTCTAAATGCTTGACTGCCATCTCTGTAATCTTCTTTTAATATAGTCCTCCTTCAATATGTAATCAAATTACACTGTAATAATACATGAAAAAAATGGAGGCATTGTTTTAGTTGCTTGGTAATTGCTCATTTAATTAGAATGCTCACTAATTTGCAAATTGCAGGTTCTGACAATGGATTCTATAGTCATTACTACAAATTGGTTAGGTTTTCCTGTAATTTCTTTGAGTGGACTCTCATGATTTAACTGAGAACCATGTGAAAATTCTCCCAATTAGTTGAAGTGCCTAGGCTCAGGATGAAATAACGTGACCTGATTTTTTTAGCTCTGACCTCTCTGGAGTGTTGAGTGTATAGTGTAATCACTCAATAGCACATATGACTGAATGCTGTTTGGAGCTGGGCTGTTGTTTTGTTATATTCTTTCCCTTATCACTAGTTTGTGCCTCTGCAGCACTCTAAACGTTTGAAGAACTCTATGAATGGTTAGCCCTGTAAAATTCCTTTTGGCAGGCATCAAAGGGGACGAACTAGAGACTTCTCTGTAGTTGATTTGAATTCACTGTCTACAGCATGAGGAGTTGAAAATAGCACAAATTTAAGCACATTTGCTTTTATAATTTTAATAAATTTTCCTGTCAGTGGTTTCAGCAACTTTGACTGCAATGCTTTTGTGCTTCCTTGGTCACAAAACGAATGTCACGGACATACTGAAGATGACTATAACGTAAGAGGACCTTAGACATATATTTGCAAGTAGGGTCTTCCCTAAGACAAGATGTAAAATTTTTTTAGATAGCAGGTTGTTGTATAACATCAGTGCTAAATACACACTTAAGCTTTGAAGCTAGACAAAAAGTGAGTTTTCATAAACAGAAATTTCAGATACTGAACTTCTTTTTTCTTTTCCATCTTTTCTCTCTTTTCCCCCACTCTCCCTCCCTGTCCCTTCTCTCTCTTCCCCTCTTTCCTCTCTCTAAAGTTTCTGTGCTAATATTGATTTGAGTTTGCTCCCAAAGTTATACCAATCAATTTCAACAACTCATAGCAAGAGAAACAATCTTTCGCACTCCGATTT